AACAGAAGAACTATTTTCCTCCTTAAGAACAAAACTATGTTAACAAGATCTTTAGTTCCTCAGTGGAAGCAGCTGACTGATCAGCTCTTTGCGCTCCGCACACGGTGCAGAGCATCGTCCTATAAAGATATTCTTTTAAATTTAAAGCAAAGCACATTCAGACAGTAAACATCCTGCTTTAAAGTAACTCAATTTAAACTTTTAAACTATCACTATTGTACATGTTGAGCTGAACCATCCAAACTTTCTTATTACTGAGGAAATGAAAAGACTCCTTCAAGGAAGCACACATCTTTACACCAAGACTGGCACAACCTGTTATTAGGTTTACTTCTAAATTACTTTTCACTCTCCAACCCTAAACGGGCAGGTTTGAAGAGCTTATTTCACTTAATTTCATCATTTAAAAACCTTATTTTTTATTTACTCTGATGATCTTTTTCTAATATTAAAATTTATGTGTGACATGTGCAAAAGGAAGAAAAAAAAAGGTTTAAAGTCCACACAATATACAGTGTATTTGCATAAAAACAAAAAAAGCATAATGTAAATGTAATTCATAAAGGTGGAAACTCAAAACTGTTCTTTATATTTAGAAGAAAAAAAGTTTATAGTCTTTATATAAGCATAGGGAGTGCAAACTACAGTGCTGTGCAGACTCTGAGTTGTTGTTTTTGCTTCATCTACTGCATCTCCGTTTATGTTTGCATGTGTTTCAATAAACCTGTTTCTTATTTTTCTGGCAAAATATAAAGAAATTCTGTGTCAGTCAAGATTGAACCTGACTGCAACAATGAATTCATGTGAAATGCACTCACATCTTTCTCTTTGTGGCTGTACATGTAACAGTGTTTGTGCGCGCCTCTGCATTACAGTGCATCACACAGTACAAATAAAAGAGGTTAAACTTCAGCTTTGACTTCCAATAGCCTGAGTGCAAAGTTAGTGCCACCCTCTGTAGAAAGTCCTCCTCCTGTAGCAGGAGCCCCATTTACTGGAGACTGTTTGAAGGGCAGCAGGTAAAGAAGAGGAAGGCACCATGGCAAACGCTTCAGATCAGGTAACATTTCGTTATAGAAGGAAACAGTAGAACTTAAACAATAGAACATGACTAATGTTTCTGACGGTAGATTGATAGCACTGGGATTTATCTCACGGTTCAGTGGCCACAGGGTCAAACCATGATCTCTAAAGGTTAGTTTTTAAAACATTTCTAATTCCTCACAAAGTAAAAGTCTTTTTTTTATTTTATGTTGTAGTACTCGTGTACTTTCAGACAATATCTGATTTCAGATTTTTTTAATTACTGTTGGAATACGGAGATATATTTAACAAGCTCCTGCAAATGCACACAAGAAACTTCACTGCAAACTATCCAAAGACAACATTTTAAAGAAATATTATATTTGTAGCTCTAAGATGACACCGTGGCACGAAACACTTCTACCACTGGAAACTGTTTGAGTGTGCCATCTTATTAAAACTATTTCCTCACACATGCAGAAAGTGGAGTTTGTGCGAACAGGTTACGGCAAGAACACGGTGAAGGTGCTGGTCGTCCGGAGGCAGGGAAGACAGCATTCTATCATTGAGGTGAAGGCTGATGTGGAGCTCACGCTCAAGTCACGCAAAGATTATCTAACTGGAGACAACTCAGACATCATCCCTACTGACACCATTAAAAACACCGTCCACGGTTTGGCCAAGCTCAGAGGGGTGAGTCTAACACCGTTTTAAGGAACAGGGAAGACCCGTTATTGCTGTTTCAGCTGCTAAAATATTTGTTATTGACGTCTTTTACAGCCTGTCAACCTGCTTGTTTCTCTGTTCAGATAAAGAACATCGAACAGTTTTCCCTGGATATCTGCAATCACTTCCTAACCTCTTTTAACCATGTGCTGAAGGCCAAAGTTTACATGGAGGAAGCTCCGTGGAGAAGGCTGGAGAAGGTAAAACAC